AACCGTTTCTCCAGCCCCGCGGCGCTCTCAGATCCGGGTCCTAGCGCCGGACCCTGTGAACGTCAACAACAGGTTGCAGCGCGTTCATTGGACATTCGCTCATGAATATTAATCAGATACTAACATTTCTTACTGAAACGTCGTCTAGTAGTGTAATAATATTCACATCTGTAGACTGTAAACAATAAGTTGGTAAATGTATTACTGTAAACAATAAGTTGCCAAAAAAAAGAAAAAATGACACATATTGATTAGTATAAAATAATGTTTTGGTGACTTAGAAGTGACTTTGGTGTCATTCTTCATTCATTTACGAGACTGTATTATGGGTTCATTACAAGAGATGGGGTTTATTACAAGGCTTTACAAGACCTTCATGCACTTAGATGCTCTTTGTGCAACAACAACAATGAACTCTTTGTACGCATCCAATTTACAAATCTAATTTGACAACCGTGCTTACCCAAATGAGACTAAAATAAATGCATCACACCAGAAAAATAAGTCCGCCTATCCAATGATTGCATAACTGCACAACTTCACTCAGATACTTAGAAACAGACTCTATGCTTCCAGAAGATTCCAACAGACTGCAAAAATCCCTTTTGAGCACTATTAACATTTGACATCACTCCCCGCTTTGTCATAAAACTAGACACAATCTGCGTTCAGATCAATTAAAGAGAAGTGTAAGGTCAAACGGAGACACCCGTTCCGGAACCTCTGCCACCTGTTGTCATGGATACGCCAGTTTCCTGTGTGCACATAGCGCACGGCGGCGTGACCGTTCATTTATTCACTGTGATATGAAGACAACTCTCTTATAGATATAGTGAAGAGCTGCACATCTAAAACGTGTTCACATGGCATCAGCACTCCTGTCTCCATGGGAACCACTAATGTGGAGAGGCAACAGCTTTTAATTGTTTATCAAATGCCAATTAGACTCAATATGGAAGTAGAAGGGAAAGGTTGGAGGGTTTGTGTTGAACTTGGCTTGAATATTTGTGACCAAGAGAGTACAAAAATAGTAAAGCCTATGAGATATAATGGGTTCCAAAAATGATATTGTTTCTCTGTGCCGTTATCATTATAGTTGTCGTGTGGGCTTAAAATGTCATTGTTAAATATTCCAAGTTTTGATTTTCGATTGGATTAATAATCTGTCCTCTAATTTGGACATCATGCATCACTAGCTATATTACAGCTGCAATTCATACTTTTGCTGTGAATGTAGTTCTTAAAGATATTTAATCTGCATTAACTTTTTTGGTTGCAAATAAATGTATGTGTTATTAGAATGTATTTTGCGGTTCAAAAAAGGTAATCTGATTATGTAATGCATGTTACTTGTAATGTGTTGCTTTAGTCGTAACATCAAAAAAATAATCTGATTATGTAATGCACGTTACTTTTAATGCGTTGCTTTACTTGGTACATTAAAAACCTAATCTGATTACGTAATGCATGTTACTTGTAATGCTTTAAATACTCGTAACATCAAAGAGTAAACTAATTACGTAATACATGTCACTTGTAATGTATTTACTCGTAACAGCCAAAAGTAATCTGATTATGTAATGCATGTTACTCGTAATGCGTTACTTCACTTGTAACATTAAAAAGTAATTGATTATGTAATGCATGTTACCCGTAATGTGTTACGTCACTCGTAACATTAAAAAAGTAATCTGATTACGTAATGCATGTTACTTATAATGTGTTACGTCACTCCTTACATCAAAAGTAATCTGATTATGTAATGCATGTTACTTATAATGTGTTATGTCACTCCTTACATCAAAAGTAATCTGATTATGTAATGCATGTTACTTATAATGTGTTATGTCACTCCTTACATCAAAAGTAATCTGATTACATAATGGACATTACCCCAACACTGTTCGTTTCAGATGAGATTGAAAACACCTGATCGCTAGTTTTTCCTCAGTCTGGAAACATTAATAGATCAATGTAGATTTCAGTCTGAGTTTTTTTTTCAGAGAGGAGAGCTACGGTAGAAATGTGTCCATTTTAAACATATTCAGAATTATCAGCTATTAAGTGTAATCGACATACTCTGGAGGGAGCATGAGTGTTTTCTACATAGTCTGAGTTGTGTTTCCACAGAGCTGTATCTTCACCAGATCTTTGATGGAATCACGTCCTCATGTTCTGATATCAAAGACATGCTTAGATGAAGCTCTTCTCCATGCTGGTCGAACAGGAACAAACTCAAATGCGTTTGCAATAATTAAAAAAAATCCTGACTGAGGTTGTCATAATTCATGCATGAAAAGGTTAATAATATGTGACCCTGGATCACAAAACCAGTCACATGTCGCACGGGTATACAGGTCCTTCTCAAAAAATTAGCATATTGTGATAAAGTTCATTATTTTCCATAATGTAATGATAAAAATTAAACTTTCATATATTTTAGATTCATTGCACACCAACTGAAATATTTCAGGTCTTTTATTGTTTTAATACTGATGATTTTGGCATACAGCTCATGAAAACCCAAAAATCCTGTCTCAAAAAATTAGCATACTTCATCCGACCAATAAAAGAAGTGTTTTTAATACCAAAAAAAAAGTCAACCTTCAAATTATTATGTTCAGTTATGCACTCACTAGTCAATACTTGCTCGGGAATCCTTTTGCAGAAATGACTGCTTCAATGTGGCGTGGCATGGAGGCAATCAGCCTGTGGCACTGCTGAGGTGTTCTGGAGGCCCAGGATGCTTCGATAGCGGCCTTAAGCTCATCCAGAGTGTTGGGTCTTGCGTCTCTCAACTTTCTCTTCACAATATCCCACAGATTCTCTATGGGGTTCAGGTCAGGAGAGTTGGCAGGCCAATTGAGCACAGTAATACCATGGTCAGTAAACCATTTACCAGTGGTTTTGGCACTGTGAGCAGGTGCCAGGTCGTGCTGAAAAATGAAATCTTCATCTCCATAAAGCTTTTCAGCAGATGGAAGCATGAAGTGCTCCAAAATCTCCTGATAGCTAGCTGCATTGACCCTGCCCTTGATAAAACACAGTGCACCAACACCAGCAGCTGACATGGCACCCCAGACCATCACTGACTGTGGGTACTTGACACTGGACTTCAGGCATTTTGGCATTTCCTTCTCCCCAGTCTTCCTCCAGACTCTGGCACCTTGATTTCCGAATGACATGCAAAACTGAGCAACAGTCCAGTGCTGCTTCTCTGTAGCCCATGTCCTGCACACGCCTGTGCACGATGGCTCTGGATGTTTCTACTCCAGTCTCAGTCCACTGCTTCCGCAGGTCCCCCAAGGTCTGGAATCGGTCCTTCTCCACAATCTTCCTCAGGGTCCGGTCACCTCTTCTCGTTGGGCAGCGTTTTTTGCCACACTTTTTTCTTCCCCCAGACCTCCCACTGAGGTGCCTTGATACAGCACTCTGGGAACAGCCTATTTGTTCAGAAATTTCTTTCTGTCTTACCCTCTTGCTTGAGGGTGTCAATGATGGCCTTCTGGACAGCAGTCAGGTCGGCAGTCTTACCCATGATTGCGGTTTTGAGTAATGAAACAGGCTGGGAGTTTTTAAAAGCCTCAGGAATCTTTTGCAGGTGTTTAGAGTTAATTAGTTGATTCAGATGATTAGATTAATAGCTCGTTTAGAGACCCTTTTCATGATATGCTAATTTTTCGAGACAGGAATTTTGGGTTTTCATGAGCTGTATGCCAAAATCATCAGTATTAAAACAATAAAAGACCTGAAATATTTCAGTTGGTGTGCAATGAATCTAAAATATATGAAAGTTTAATTTTTATCATTACATTATGGAAAATAATGAACTTTATCACAATATGCTAATTTTTTTAGAAGGACCTGTATTTGTGGCAATAGCCAACAATACATTGTATGGGTCAAAATTATCAATTGTTCTTTTATACCAAAAATCATTAGGATATTAAGTAAAGATCATGTTCCATGAAGATATTTTGTAAATTTCCTACCGTAAATATATAAAATATTTATTTTTGTGAGTGAAATCGCGAACATAAGGGTGATTTTCTCAATGTTTTGATTTTTTTTCCAAATAGTTGTATCTCGGGCAAATATTGTCCTATCCTAATAAACCATACATCAATGGAAAGCTTATTTATTTAGCTTTCAAGTGATGTATAAATCTCAATTTAAAAAAATTGACCCATGTGACTGGTTTTTTGGTCCAGGGTCACATATAAAGAATATTTTTCCACTAAAGAGCTTTTTGTGGAATGGAAAGGTTCAGTGGATGTTAAAGGTTTTTCATGGAACCACAGATGCCAATGAAGAACCTTTATTTTTAAGATCAACCGTTAATGTATTGTAACCTACTGTTAATGTGCAGTGTTTACCAATATATGGTAAATGTCCATGAGCATTTTCATTAGTATGTCATTGCACAGCCAACAGGAAACCAGATTCTCCTAATTGAATTCAGGACAAGTTAATATATAGTCTGTGTCACTGCACCTCCTCTTCCCATCGCTTAACCTGGTCGTGTTCGATTATTCAACCATGACAGTATAATGAGCGCCATGAAAACCAGACTCATAAAACCAACTAAAGGCGGCTCATATCTGCTGCTCATCTGTATTTGGTTAAACACCTCCAGGAGTGTGTGAACAGTGGTGAAAAGTGTGTTTTTTTAGTATGTTGTTGCTCTTTAATAGTTCAGGAGATATAATGGAGCTCATTGCTGTCTACAGGAGAAACAATTAAGATACTACAGATATTATAGGCTATATAATTATTTGTCTTGCAGAAAAATGACAATGAGAATTATTAACAAAAGGCTTGAGATTCACTCTGTTTTATGAGTTTATTACCTCCAAAGCGACTATGGAGGTCTAATGACACCTTACAATAGTGTAGATTGAAACATCTGTTACAATGTTACTAAGTGCACGTGATGGCAGTGTGAGCGCGCCCTCTGGCGGTGCGCGTGAACTGTGCGCTGTCAGCTGACGTCAGCTGGAGTCCATCACGTGACAATTACAATCACATGAGGAACAGAAGTTGAAAACAGGAAGACATCGAACTCGTATTTTAATCTAATCAGGTAAAGCTTTATTTGTCCTCATCGCTGTTTCTACTCAAAGCATTTGTATTTGTAATTATTCATGTATAAATGACAGTGTCGTAGGCCTATCTACAGGCGAAGTAAACAGATCATGCATCAACTCATTGTCTTTTGAGTCAAAATAAAGCACTAGTTTATTAGGACTCACCATTATTCTGAAACATTTTGTATGCAAAATAATCGTGCATGTAAAATGCCGTGTTTATGTATGACATGCATCACCTGCTGTGTTTGTGAATTGTACAGTATGTGAAATGGCCGCGGCGGTGGAGAGAACAGATGATCTGGTGCGAGAGTATCTGATCTATCGAGGTTTCAACAGCACACTCAAACATCTGGACTCAGAGATCAAATCAGACAAGGAGAAAGGCTTCAGAGTGAGTCTATGTGTTTATTCACCTCCTCCTGCATGCCTGGCTTATGCGGGTGCATGCACAAGTGTAGGACAGTATCATAACAGGACAATATAATATCTCTAACAGGCTTTTAATAAACATTAAATAAGTTTTATCACATCAAAAAGGTCAAACATGAGTATGCATGCATCAAATGTACATGTGTGTAATATATGTGATAGTGTAAATGTTGGTTTTGTTGATGTGTGCTCCAGGTTGATAAAATCATCGATCAGCTCCAGCATCTGATTCAGAACTATGATCTGGCGGGTCTGAAGGAGTACTGGGCGTATCTGGACCGCAGGCTCTTCTCCAGGCTGGAGGACATCTACAGACCCACCGTCAGCAAGCTGAGGACCAGCCTCTACCGCTTCTACGTCATACACAGCGTTCAGGTGCAGCACAAGCATATTTATATATCAGAACTTTTAAGTTCTTATTCTCCTCAGAGATCACTTAGATCATCATCTCTGCTAGTATTAAATATCCCAAAATCACGTTTGAAAACAAAAGGTGATAGGTCCTTTTCAGTCTATGCTCCAAAACTTTGGAATACACTACCTTTATCGATCAGAGCTTCTCCTACTTTAAATGTTTTTAAAGCATCAATTAAAACCTACCTTTTTTCTCAAGCTTATTAAATTGAAAAATTTGCTTAAAAATGCTTTTTGCATCTATGAAATACTACCGGGTTGCAGTTCTTGTGAGGTCGCTAGGTTTAACATTTGTACTTATTATAAAGATTCTATTTATTTATTTATTTTTTAGGTCTACGTTTTTTATATGCTCTACTTAAAGGTGCTCTATGTAACTTTTAGCGGCCTCTAGTGGTGATGTTTCAGATTGCAACCAAATTTTACAAGAGCGCTCGTGCTCAAACTCATAGACAATACCGTCTATTACGCAAATATCTCGGCAAATACTAGACGGATTTGGCGAGCACCGAGCTCGTTGGGACCATCTAGTCGAGCTGAAAAGAACCATATAAGTTCCATAGTTTTTGGTGGTGTTTTCGCAGAGATATTAGCAGAAAACCATCGGGCGCGCTGCAAAATTGCGGACGCCGGTGACGTCACGATCTCAAAAGAAAATCGCTCGTATCTCTGGAACGCAAAGACCCAGAGAGCTCAAATTCGGGGGAGGAGGTCCCAGGGGAACCCTTGCCCGAATGCTAGAGTGGCGGGCTCGGGGATGCCCCCTACCGGATCGCCGTTCGCTGGGACCCCCGATTTCGAACGGCTATAACTCGGGGAGCCGGGCGAGTTGGACCTCGGGGGTGGGCTCGTTCGAAAGGCCCCGTCCAGCACTACGAACTATTAGAGTCTTGGGAACATTGATCAAAGATTGACTGAGATATAAGCCGAAAAACGTGCGCCTTTAACCGGACGTAACTCCCTGACCGTCTTCAATAGACTGTATATAAGGAGAGAGGCTCGGGAGCGCGCGTGCACGTCACATCCGTTGGATTTCGCGGTAAATCCGACCCGGAGACTTCACATGGAAATAGGAATACTGGCCTTCAGAGGTAATAGCAAAACCCGACAAGTGGATCATTTTAATGTGTGATTACATCCCCTTCACACACAGGCAATAAAAAAAGGATTCATTTTAGAAGAAAAGTTCCATAGAGCACCTTTAACTGTATGTGTACTTTTGATGTATCTGTGAAGCACTTTGGTCAACATTCGTGTTGTTAAAAGGTGCTATAGAAATAAACTTTGACCTTGACAATACACCTCAGCCCAGGAACTCAACAACTGCATCAGAAAATGTATTTTTGCATGAAAGAAAATTAAAGGGGTGGTTCAGGATTTTGAACATCGGACCTCATTTCTAAGTTAGCCTGGGTGTTATTTATCAGTGGAGACAGTTTTCAAAACATTTCATCCAGTCCTTCCAGTTGCATAGTTCGCCGGTGCTAGGCTAGCGCGAGTCAACGGTATCTGCTAGCCTGCCATTAAAAACAGTTTTACCCACTCCACAGTTCACCAAAAGCAAATACATTATAACGCCAGACTATCGATGTAAATGTCTGTTGAGAGAATAATGTTAGAAATCAAACTATTGAATTAAATTTATTAAATGTATCAGTGATGAAATAATGAATTTAATATTCATTAATATATACTTAATATAAATAATAGTAAATTAAATAATAATAATTACATAATAAAAAGCAATATTATTTCAAGGTAGTACTAAATTAATTTAATTGATGGTAATCATTATATATAAATAATTATATATATTAAATATATACTTAATATAAATAATAAAAGCTATATTATTTCAATATTTAATATATAAATATATACTTAATATTATAAAACATAATAATACCATTAAATAATATATAAATATATACTTAATATTATAAAAGATAATAATACCATTAAATAATATATGAATATATACTTAATATTATAAAAGATAATAATACCATTAAATAATATATGAATATATACTTAATATTATAAAACATAATAATACCATTAAATAATATATGAATATATACTTAATGTAATTAATAATACAAAATACATAATAAAAATGTTAAATAATAATAAATAAAACAGGTTTGTTTCGGTGTCTGTCTGTAGTTGATGTTGTGAGACTCATCCTGTGTCTGCTGTGTCTCAGTCGAGGAATCCAGAGAAGACGCAGGAGTTTTTCCAGAAGCAGGCGCTGGAGCTGCAGGCTCAGCCGGAGTGGCGGGAATGGTTCGCTCTGCCGTTCATCTCCACCCCGGAACAGAATCCCGTCTTCTCTCCGTACTTCTCCCGCCAGTGGGCCGACACTTTCCTGGTGTCTCTGCACAACTTCCTCAGCGTTCTCTTCCAGTGCATGCATATCCAAACACTGCTGTTGCCCGGCAACCCATCGCTGCTCACTGTAACATCCGCCTATTATGGGATGGGGGAATTATGATGGTCCTTCAGCTGTTTAAATAGCCTTAAAGGATTAGTTCACTTTAAAAAAAACTTTTGCTGATAATTTACTCACGCCCATGTCATCCAAGATGTCCATGTCTTTCTATCTTCAGTCGAAAAGAAATTAAGGTTTTTGATGAAAACATTCCAGGATGTTTCTCCATATAATGGACTTCAATGGGGTCCAAACGGTTCAAGGTCCAAATGAGCAGCTTCAGCTTTCAGTGCAGCTTCAAAGGGCTTTAAACGATACCAGACGATGAATAAGGGTCTTATCTAGCGAAACGATCGGTCATTTAAAAAATAAATAAAAAAGTTTAAGTTTTATAAGCACAAATGCTCGCCTTGCTATGTTCTGTGAGACCTTTTCAACGTAATTGCGTATTACGTGACGTCACGAACGGGCATCACAGAACAGAGCAAGGCGAGCATTTGTGCTTATAAAACTTCAACTTTTTTATTTATTTTTTAAATGACCGATCGTTTCGCTAGGTAAGACCCTTATGAAGCCGCACTGAAACTGTCATTTGGACCTTGAACCGTTTGGACCCCATTGAAGTCCATTATATGGAGAAAAATCCTGGAATGTTTTCATCAAAAACCTTCATTTCTTTTCGACTGAAGAAAGAAAGACATGGACATCTTGGATGACATGGGGGTGAGTAAATTATCAGCAAAAGTTTTTTAAAAAGTGAACTAATCCTTTAATGTGGCTTTGATGCTTCGAAATTACATTGTGTACACATTTTGAATGTGCATTAATCACTGATATCATGCAGATCATATGTAATCATATATAATGTTAGTGCTCCTTAACAGCTTCACCTCTGCCTGCGCTCTTGAGCTTTGACAGTGAAGTGCAGAAACTCACGGGTCTTCAGGAGGAGAACGAGCAGTACCGACAGATGGTGAGATCTTCACTGTTTACTAGTTGAGCTGGTCAGTAATGCCTGATGCAACATGGTAGAGATGCCACTTCAGTGCTTAATATTGCACTAAAATATACATGGCTCAGCTCGAACATGTGCACTTACAATGGAAGAAGGCTTTGGGATTAGTTTTACGCCAAATGTATCACAGCGTGCGACACTGTTTTGCAAAAATGTAAAAACTTGTATAAAAAAATAAGCATTAATCAAAACTTATTTAAAATTACATTGCACAAAACTGAAACATGAATTCAAAATAATGTTTTCCTTTATTTTATTGCTGTTTTGTGCTCTCTCTCTCTTTTTGTGTACACTTATGATGTTTTATCACTTGCTTTTCTAAATGTTGTATGTGTTAGAATTTTATGTAAATGAGAAGGGTAAGTAGCGTCACTATTGGTCCATTAGTTCTAGATTGACGCCTCCTCAAGCCAGTCAATTACAGAAGAGAGTTTAAAGGGACAGTTCACCTTAAAGATGAAAGTAAAGTCCTAATTTATTCACCCTGGTGTTGATCTAATGCCGTACGCCCTTTTTGGACCACAAAAGGAGAATTTTGTCCCACTCGCGCTCCTCCGTAAAAGAAACACACAAGTTGTGATAAATCAACACGCAACATGAAATACAATACCTCGAAATCCCCAAAACGCGTTAACTTCTTGTTTCAACGAACACAACGGATATATAGAAAGTACATGGATTGTATGTCATGATGTGTTTTTTTTTATCAATCTTGATTTCTCACAATTTGTGTGTTTTTCTGGGCAAGTCGAAGTAAACTGCGGTGCTAATAGAGTCTCATGAACGTGCAGTCGAGCACAGACCAACGGCCAAGAGCAGGATTTCCCTGTAGTCAATAATTGTATCCCTTAAAACTCATCTTAGATCATTTAAAATTCTTCATGCCTTAAAATATCTTGAATGTAACTCGACACCCTTGCCTCATTTAGTATACGCGGTTCTATGAATATGCAAATTAGCCCCGCCTCCACTCACTCACTCAGCTCAGAGATCCACTGGTTGACGATCACACGTTGATCTGATTGGTTACAAGGTCGTTTGTGACGTCAGAAACACCAGCGATTTCAAACCGTGTTTTTGAGACGGTCTTTGGTTCACTGCAGTTTTAAGCAGAAAATACTCGAGTCTCGACTTATGAATTACACATGGTTAGTCTTAAAGCATATTAAAAACACCACATAAACAACATTAAAAGCTTGTTTTTCACCAAACAAATTTTTTCATAAACATTTTTAAAAAATTCTCCTTTTGAGGTCCAAAAAAGAATGGAAAAACAACACCAGGGTGAGTAAACTTTCATTTTAAGGTGAACTGTCCCTTTAAAGTTTTGATTCATGCTTATTATTTTTCGATCTGTTACTTTTAGTGGCCTATTAGAAGAGCAGTAATGTTGTTAAGATGCATCTGCCTGTAATCAAACATCTCCCTTCGTTCCAGTTATTTGCTCTTCAAGGAGAATCACGGCCAAAGAAAGACGAGGTGATGGTGCATCACAAACTCCCGCCGTACGTCCAGCACATGGACCGACTCGGCGACACTGAGCTGTGAGGAGACTGTAGCACTGAAATCATCCAGTTTGTTCACGCTGGGTGTTTTTATCCAACCATTTCACATTATATCAATGTTTACAAGCATGAACTGAAAATAATGAGACTGACGAGCGTTTGACTAGTGAATAAACATTCACTTGAAACGTAACTTCCTCACAATAGTCTTGATTGTGTCTGTGATCATTTCTGTACATCACTGTGATAATACGGGGTATGTTTGAGTTGGCGAAAAAATCATGTAAAAAGAATATGAAATCAAAACCATTTTTGATACATGTGAAGCACACAGAACGGATCTGCACAAATATCAACGAGGTGTAAAGGTTTCTGTTCCTGCAAGCTCTTTGTGAAGATTAAATCTTTTTAAACTACGATTCTTGACAAAAAGCCTCTTTGTCTAAAGTTAAAAGGCATTCAAACTGGAAAAGGGAAAACTGAGGAAGGGAAGTGAGCGGGAAAATCAGGTAGTGTGAAGTGTGTGTGTTTTCAGAAACGTGAGCGATGTTTCATCTGTTTTCTCAGTGATCTCGTGTACAGTCAGAGGAACGTGAACATGACCACGCCGTCCAGAAACTTCTTCTCCACGTTCCTCCCTCAGGCCAGACGGGCTCCTGGGAAAACGGCCCCGGGGTCTTCGCCCACACAGGCCTCGCTGGGCCGGAAAGACTCTCCCGCCGGAGTGCAGGTACATCCAGCGTTATTACAACATCATTAAGATACTATTAAAGGGATAGTTCACCCAAAAAAAAAAAAAAAAAAATAGCCAATGATTTACTCACCCTCAAGTCTTCCTAGGTGTATATGACTTTCTTCTTTCAGACAAAAACTATCAGAGTTATATTAAGAAATGTCCTGGCTCTTCCAAGCTTTATAATGGCAGTGAATGGTTGTTTCTGTTTTGAAGTCCATAAAAGTGCATCTATCCATGATAAAAGTGCATCTGTCCATCATAAAAGTGCATCTATCCATCATAAAAGTGCATCTATCCATGATAAAAGTGCATCTATCCATGATAAAAGTGCATCTATCCATCATAAAAGTGCATCTATCCATCATAAAAGTGCATCTATCCATGATAAAAGTGCATCTATCCATGATAAAAGTGCATCTATCCATCATAAAAGTGCATCTATCCATCATAAAAGTGCATCTGTCCATCATAAAAGTGCATCTATCCATCATAAAAGTGCATCTATCCATGATAAAAGTGCATCTGTCCATCATAAAAGTGCATCTATCCATGATAAAAGTGCATCTGTCCATGATAAAAGGGCATCTGTCCATGATAAAAGTGCATCTATCCATGATAAAAGTGCATCTGTCCATCATAAAAGTGCATCTGTCCATGATAAAAGGGCATCTGTCCATCATAAAAGTGCATCTGTCCATCATAAAAGTGCATCTGTCCATGATAAAAGGGCATCTGTCCATCATAAAAGTGCATCTATCCATCATAAAAGTGCATCTGTCCATCATAAAAGGGCATCTGTCCATGATAAAAGTGCATCTATCCACGATAAAAGTGCATCTATCCATCATAAAAGTGCATCTGTCCATGATAAAAGGGCATCTGTCCATGATAAAAGGGCATCTGTCCATCATAAAAGTGCTTCTGTCTAGGGCTGTAGTCAAGACCACCTTTGTCGAGTCCAAGACAAGTCCAAGACCAGGACTAGTCGAATCCAAGTCAAGACCGAGTCCAGGACAGGAAAAAGGTCTTGACATTATGACATTAAATGACAATCATTTTGGGTTATTATTTGTTGATCTAAAAGCACAAACAGTGTCACAACACCCAGGATTTTTAAGTATAGACATTCCCTTTGATATCATATAATCTTAATCTAAAGAAAAAAGAATGATGACATATGGTGATAACTCATAATAGCAGTGTTAGAACTGATACAAACACCAACCCACTACTATTACCACTGCTAGGCACTAGTAGCCTACTGGGCATTTGAGCAACTAAATGACAATATAGCTTCACTCCAGTAAAATATATCTGTGGTAATTTCTTCACGTTAAACCGAACTTTTATTTTGACGGGTTTCTGAGTGTATCTGACGATGAAATGCTGAAGATAAACGTGTACTTGAGTATGTGTAGTACATGAACCTGCGGCACTCATTTGCAGAGACTCGCTGAACAATCAGATTTGATAGCAGTCTTTAATATTCACAGTCACTAGTCCATATAGCAATTTCATATTATGATCGGCAGTGAATAGACAGATCTGTTATTTCAGCTATGCGCCGGTATTGCAGTAGCAAATAGTAGAAAAGAAATCACACACGCGCAGGTCGTACTTGTGAATGACTGGCACTACAATCTGCAGTAATCTGTGGAGGTTTCTGCGGGTGCATACTACAATAATACGTTACTGGGAACATAAAAAAGACACCTGGACTCGGTCGAGACCAAAAGCCATATTTGGCAAGACCAGTGGCCGAGTCCGAAAACCAGCGAGTCCGAGACCATAGAAAAACGAGACCGGACTCGAGTACTACAGCCCTGCATCTATCCATCATAAAAGTGCATCCATCCATGATAAAAGTGCATCTATCCATGATAAAAGTGCATCTATCCATCATAAAAGTGCATCTATCCATCATAAAAGTGCATCTATCCATGATAAAAGTGCATCTGTCCATCACAAAAGTGCATCTATCCATCATAAAAGTGCATCTATCCATGATAAAAGTGCATCTATCATCATAAAAGTGCATCTATCCATGATAAAAGTGCATCTATCCATCATAAAAGTGCATCTATCCATGATAAAAGTGCATCTATCCATCATAAAAGTGCATCTATCCATGATAAAAGTGCATCTATCCATGATAAAAGTGCATCTATCCATCATAAAAGTGCATCTATCCATCATAAAAGTGCATCTATCCATCATAAAAGTGCATCTATCCATCATAAAAGTGCATCTATCCATGATAAAAGTGCATCTGTCCATCATAAGTGCATCTGTCCATCATAAAAGTGCATCTATCCATGATAAAAGTGCATCTGTTCATCATAAGTGCATCTGTCCATCATAAGTGCATCTGTCCATCCTAAAAGTGCATCTAAAGCATAAAGCTTGGAAGAGCCAGGACATTTTTTAATATAACTCTGATAGTTTTCGTCTGAAAGAAGAAAGTCATATACACCTAGGAAGACTTGAGGGTGAATGTATTGCAAATGTATTGCCCATTGTTAGTTTAAGTTAGTTAATGCATTAACTAATGGGACCTTATTGTATAAGTGTTACAAACGTTGCTTTATCAACTTGATGTCTTTCTGCTAATCTGAAGGTCTTTCTCTCTGTGATTCTCAGTCTGTGAAAGCGAAAGACCCGCCCGGCGCGAAGGACTTGAAGACGGCCACTGTTTCCGCGGTGACGGTGGATTTGGCCACGGGTCATCCCCGAACGAGAAGAGTGCATGACCACGAGAAAGAGAGAAAAGAGCTGCTGTCCAAACCCTCAGCGCAGGTCCGAGAAACGAAGCCCTCTCTGCTCATGTTCGGTGTTTTCTGCGGTTTGCTCCTCGCGTGGCGGCGGCACTACAGTAGCCAAACACTCATCCAAGGGATTCGGTCCGGGACGTACTTTTCCCATTCGCTTTCTCCGTGGGGATTTTAAAAGTTCCATGAACCGAACCAACCAGAAGAATCACATTAACTTTATAATATAAAGATTTCTGATAACACTTTACAATACGATTCCATTTGTTAACATTAGTTTAACATTAACTAAGATTAATGTTAAAGGTGCAGTGTGTAGATTTTAGCGGCATCTAGTGGTTCGGTAGGATCTGCGGCTTCTCTTTCAAGGTAGTGACGAAACGCGCGCTGTGTGTTCGCTGTCGGCTACGGTAGAAACATGACGTCACAATAGGTCGACCGTCATAGAAGGGGGTGCCCGCGGTTATGTAGATATAAATGTCTCATTCAAAGGTAATAAAAACATAACGGTTCATTGAGTAAGCTCTTTATACACCACTGAACACATAGTTATGGATCTTATATTGCATTTCTGTCAATTGATCCTCAGAAATATTACACATTGCACCTTTAAAGTATTTTTCATTCTGAAAACATGTTAACTAATGTTAAACCCATCCTGGGTTTGCTATTATTTCAATTTGGATATTAAATTAAGTTAAAATCATACTGACTACATCATGCATTTTTCCGTGTGTATTTTTGATTTCCACAGAGTTCGGAGAAGAAAAACGATTCGGATCCAGACACTCAAACCGAAGCTCTTCCTGATCAAACGGACTCCACCAATCAGACGCGAGTCTGTGAAGTGGGCGGAGCTGGAGCGGAGCAGCCCTTTATTAAGCTGAGTCAGGAAGAGTATGGAGAACATCACTCATCCATCATGCACTGCAGGTGTGTGTGGCCAGGAGACATCAAATGGGTCGCATTATGGTTTATTAGTAATGTTGCCGTTTGAGCATGAAAAATCTCTCCAAAGTTATTCTCTATATCAGTGTCACTGTTTCTGAACTCCCTGAAACGAGTTTCTTCCGGGAACGAACACGTCACAATATTCCTCATTATAATAATTCATGCGCAGAATAAAGGGGCGGGGCCTGGTTGAGTTAGTTAGTAGTGTGTTAAACTGGTGGTTATGGTAAGGGGCGGGACATTTCCCAAACACACTCGAAGCGCTCGACCAATCACAGCACACTGATCCAGCCGACCAATCAGAGCACAGTGTGCTTTTCAGAAGGAGGGGCTTCATAGAGACAGGAAGTAAACAGAGCGTTACTGCCAGACTGGGAAGAGAGGAGCCGCAACAATGGAGAATATGAGGAAAATAATCAACATTCAAGCTGGAAAACCTGTTCTAGTAGAGACTAAAACACAATCAAGACTTTGGAAACGGTCTCCTTTTAAAAACAGTCATAATTTCCTGTCTAATAATCATCATCTTCCTCTGACACTTATTATATTACACTTGGCTGTAGGATTGCTGTATGTAAATGAGCTCTGTTGTGATTGGCTAATCTCTGCATACGGTTTCGAACTCTGAATTGGTGCTGATATGTTAATGAGCTTATGGGCGTTTCTGTGTTTTAGTTTCACTATGTGAGCTTTTATCAGCATCAGTTGTGTGTTTGTGTTTTAGGGTGGACTGCTCGGGCAGAAAAGTGGCCAGTCTGGATGTGGACGGGGTGGTGAAGGTTTGGGCCTTCAATCCCATCATGCAAACCAAAGCCACTATCATGTCCAAGTCTCCGCTTCTCTCTCTGGAGTGGGCGGCCAAACCTGACCGACTGGTAAATAACATCACGGTTCATGAATATACCCAGAGAAATAGATTCAGATGGCATATACATGAACAGTATTTGGTTGGTTTGATTGGTTTATGTGGTGTTTTACTCTCGCAGCTGTTGCTCGGCAGTGGCGTCGGCACGGTCAAGCTTTACGACACCGACGCCAAGAAGAGTTTGTACGAGATGTCAATAGACACGGTCCACCCGCGGTGAGTCCTCACAGATCACTAGTGTTGGGCTTTGACACAAATTTCAAAGTAAATCAATCTCTCTCAACTAATGCGGTGAACCCTGTCAGTACATTACTAAAGGTTGAAATTAACAGCTGATTTGTGTACAATCATTTAAATTGCACATATCTACGGTGGCCGTGAACTTTTGTAGTGCGTTTCTGTATGTGGTTGTTGTGAGTATTTGGAGCACACGTGTGTTGTGAAACTGATGAAGATGTTTTCTTAACCCCTTAAGTGTCACCGGCCCACCGGTGGGCCCAAATCCATTATATTTTTAAAACAGTAATATCCTATACTAAACCTAAACTAATCTTGACAAACTATATATCATTTGAAAGCTTACAATCTCTAGTTTCCATATTTGATGATTGATTTTCAAAATAAATTACAGAGGAGCCGTAATTTATCAATTTGCAACAAGAATATTTTCATACTGCTAAGGCGTGTTTAGACCTTTATTTTGAAATAGTGATGAACATGAAAAAACATGAAAGAAGGATCGAAACCTCAGTTTGTTTTCATGCCAAGAGTTCAAAAGATAGCATCCATTCAATTATTTTAGAAAAAAAAGGTCTGAATTTGTTTTTAAATATAAAGAAAAAAATGATAGATTCACCATTTGTGGCAGGAAGCTATAACGTACATGCGTGTTCTTTTTGCGTTTCTTAGAGGTTGAATTCATATCAAAATCTGCCAAACTTCTCGAATTACTTCTGAATAGGATGTCTACTTCATAAATTGTATGAAAATTGGGAAAATAATGGTTCAAATCACTCAAAACACATATGGAAATGGAGGCGCCCTTATATGGGCAGTAATGGAGTCTGGTTGTCATCTAGTGAAAAAGTTTGGTACTGCGCCCAAACAAAATCTTACTGAAAGCTCATTTTTTGAGATATCAACCTAAAATTTGAAACACAACTTGTTCAGATTTTCGGCTTTGATTTTTTTGCAGTTTTAGAGTCGCCAAGGTTTTGAAAATATATATTTTATATAAAATATGAATAATTAAATTTTTTACATTGTACATTTCCATAAACTCAAACTTCTATAACTTTTTTTCTGTTTCACTTTCCTAATTTATTTCACTTCTACAAAAATCTGCCAAATGTCTTCTTTAAAACAAGACCAATCTTACATCTATATTCCAAAGCATTCTTAAATTACAACCATTTAAGTTCGAAATGTGCATTTTCATGTATATTCAAAAAAAGGGGGGTGACACTTAATTGCGGGTGTTTTTCTATTTGCTTGTGTTTTCTTAATTTACCGTGCGTTGAGCTCTCTCAGCCACTGTACATATGGCTGTTTAAATAAAATAACTTTTTAATAATAACTTATGTTATTACTCCAGTTTGTTTTTTAAAACATTTTAAATGGTGGCTGTCATAACGTACTTGACGGATGTTATTCAAACATACATTAATATTGGATAGGGATGCCACCATATCGGTATCGGCCGATATATGTTCATTTTTAATATTATCGGGCCGATAAGAAAATTTGGCCGATATGTTTAAGCCGATAAATTATGTATTGTTTCCTTTAGTTGAGACACTTCAGATGTGCACTGTTCAACATGATGGTTTTAAATTGCTTGAAATATGATTGGAATCACTTCAAAAAAGGAAAATACAATTGAGTGCAACATGTGCAGGCTACATAAAATTATAATGAGAACATGATTATAATTGTGTGCTTGAGACGTGGATTTTAATAGTGAGACTTTTGTTTTTGTAATCAGGCTCTCAAAAATTATATACAATTTGGATTTAGATTTATCGGCCAATATATATCGGTTATCGGCTTTTAAATATAAAGGATTGGTTATCGTATCGGGCAAAATTTTGTTATCGGTGCATCCCTAATATTGAAGAACAGGTTAAGTAAAAATATAATAAATATGCAATATAGTGCATATATTGATCAAAATGCTGCTCTCTAGAGTTATTTTTCTAGCTAACGAATGAGTTTATGGTATTTGAATGTCTTTCATGTTGTTCATAAGCTGTTTTATTGACGTATCTCCGTGGTTGAAACACTGATTGATCGATTACATGAGACATGATTCATTTCAATCAGTTGCTCTGTTTCTTTAAACATTCCTTCTGATGTTAATTCATGTTTATTTGATGCTACAACTAGTAGTAAGGCAGATGAGATGATCGGTTCAGGTGCCGCTTGAACTGAGACTAAACCAAATTTTTGCTTGATTTTTATTATAGGATTGACAGAATTTGAAAGCTGAGACTTTCTTATATATCAAAAGTATCAAAGCTCATTACATGTCATTGGATTGGAGGCATAAACAAATAATGTTTAGTTTAGTTAACTGAAAACAGCCTAGACTAAAAGATCAAATCTTGGGATTTAAGAATCGATATCGGTTTGATATTTTCAACCCAGCCCTACAGATTACCCATAATGCACCAATATATAAATCTCAATTTCTACATGCATCTTATTGATAAGCCATTGTTGCATACTCTTTCACATACCCTTTTTCTAAAGTAGTCCACTCAGACCGTATTCGTGTGTGTTCAGGATCCTGTCGCTGGCCTGCAGTCCCAGCGGCACGTCGTTCGTTTGCTCCGCGGCGGCTCAAGCTGCCAATTCTGCAGTCGCGACGGAGAGCGACACACGAGGATCCGGTCCCGTATCCGGACATCTGCTGCTGTGGGACACCAAAACGGTCAAGCAGCAGGTACTGACGCCAAACGTCACCAACACAGAAATGTAACGACTGCACACTGGCGTACTGACGTTTATCTGGTTGTTATTGTGTTCAGCTGCAGTTTTCGCTGGAGCCGGGACCGGTCGCCATAAACTGCACGGCGTTTAACCACAACGGAAACCTGCTGGTGACCGGAGCGGCGGACGGGATCATACGACTGTTCGGTAGTGCTTTATTTTCCAATCAGCTACACAGTAATAAACAGGAAAATAACAGTGTCGATGTTGCAAAATTCATCAATTGTGAAACAAATTCAATCTCAACTATAATGCTGCATTCACACCGGACGTGAATAGCGCGTCAAATTTGCGCCTGCCGCGTCTAGTTATACGCTTGACCACTTTGTGTTAATTCGCGTGTCAATGGCGAAATTGACGCGCGTAAAAAAAAAAAAGTTTGAAGTGAAATTTACGCGCGTCAGAGGCGAAATCCGGAGGCGAAAGTTTCGAAACCCCTTGGCGGCCATCTTTTTAGATGTTTATCGAGCATTAGCATTAGCATTAATCGAGAGAGTCACCGCTCGTATATGCTCTGGAGAGCAGAAACAGCTGCGTAGGGGACATCGTCGCTGTACTCGGGTCCACCAGACCCTCCGGAGGGTTTCAGGAGTTTCCCCATTTGCTCCAGGAGCTAGGTTTGGTGGACCTAACGGTGAGGACGTATAAGGCCTCGGCCTCGAGTGGTCTATGCCTGTCGAGCCCGCGCTCTACAGCCCAGCGCGAGGTTCACCCTCGCCCGCACACACCTAATCTGTCATTTATTTTTGTTTTGATAATAAATGGAGCCAGCCTCCAAAAGTGAAACCTGTCCTGTGATTTAAAAAAAAGTTTTTATACACTAAATTCTGTTTGTTGTCTTTACATTAGAATAATAATGTTTCATATAATCTAGAATAGATATGGAATAAATAGCATTCAATACAAAATGAGTATCTCTCTTTTATTGAAATCAAGTTTTTATGTGAAAGATTTGCTTTGCACACCAAGCATTTTAGTCATATTACAAAATAATTTATTGAGGCCAAACATAAAATAACATTATAAACTGTCACTTCACCACGTGACAGCAGCAAGCAGGCTCCTGATTGGTTAACGCGGCGCGAATTGACGCAGAAGTTCAGATTTTTCAATTCGGGCGGCAGACGCGAATTCGCGTCAAACGCGAGAATGCACAAAAAGCACCATTCGCGCATTTTGTGCGCGTTACGCGCCAGACGCTCAATTTGCGCGAATTTGACGCGCGAATGAGGCGTATTCGCGTCTACCGCGCCGCAGGAATTTTTTACTCGCGTAACCCGTCTTTGCATTGACTTAACATTGAAATAACTCGCGCCTGACGCGCTATTCGCGTCCGGTGTGAACGCAGCATAAGGCTGCTCTACATTATTTAGTTCAATTCAGTTTAGTTCAATAACTTTGTCGATGTTGCAAAGTTAGTGATACTTTAGTCAGTCCTGGTGCCATTAAATCGATAATATTGCTGAATATCAATTGTCTTCTAAACTCCAAGTGTCAGGTTTGTTATGTTTGTATATCATTGATTCCCTGTGTTCAGTTCCTGCTTCAATTGTTTCCCATTTCCCGCTTCTTTTCTGTTTCCTAGGTTTATGCACTAGTTTGTTGTCATGGTTCTGATTGATTTGCGCACCTGCTTCTTGTTCAGTTGGTTATCCCCAGTGTATTTAAGCCCTCTGTTCCCTGTCCAGTATTGTCTTTGCCTTTTTGTGCAAAGCTGTTGCGTTTTTGCCCTTTGGCTGCAATGACTCCGCCTCTTCTGCTACTCATCTTCCTTCCTCGCCTGCATCTTGACACCAAATGGCTCTCATTTAATTCACTTGTTGAAATGTTTCTCTGCAGACATGCAGCGCTACGAGAGCGCGTTGAGCTGGAAGGCTCATGATGGGGAAGTGTACAGCGTGGAGTTCAGCTACGACGAGAACACGGTCTTCAGTATCGGAGAGGACGGGAAGGTGATGGGAACCTGTGTTTATACTTCATGAATGTCGTTAACACTGATGATGACTTTGAGCCACACACACACTGACGTTTTAATGCAGGGTTTCCCAAACAGAGGTTTGTAAGTTAATTAAAAGCTAGTAATTATATTGAATGTCAAATTAAAATAAATTAATGGGGCTGCACGAATATAGCTTACCAATTACCAATTTTAACAAACAACTATTGGCCGATTCCGATATTCGTCACTTGAACACTTATTTGTACTGTCATAAAAAAAAAAAAAACTGTTTTAATCATGTTTTAAATTAGCAAAGTTAAAAAATGCATGAATTTAAGGTATATTAGCAAGTTTGTTGCTGCAATCTAATAATTTTCATTGAACATGGATTGGATTCATTTAACATTCAGGTTATTTTTGCTATCAAATATTTCTGATTAACGTTACCTCATATTTTACATTATTATAGAACTTTTCATATTCCCTTAATAAATAGAAAGACATAATACAACACACAAAGTTAATTAAGAAACGATTGGTTTGCTATACTGGCTTTTTTCATGCTATATCAGCGATCGGTGATATAAAACGGCGACCGATACATCAGTGCATCTCTATTTAAAATCTCAGGGGAACTTAAAATAAAAAATTTCATGAACCCGTTGTGAAATCTAAATAATGTTTAGCCTTCACATGATAGGATTATGCCTATGAAAAATCAACAAACAATGATAAATGTGACCGCACCTTTAGAATTTGATTCATTTCAGTGAATCAGTTCAAAGCTCCGATTCAACAATTTATTAATTTCTGTTTAGACGCCAACAATTAAAACTTGCTCATGTTCATCTGGGATGGTTGTATGTAAACATCATGTTGTGTTTGTTGTCAGTTTGTTCAGTGGAATATCCACCGCTGTGGCGTGAAGCAGTCGGAGTACTCGCTATCCCAGGATGCCGTGGGGCCGTTTGTGCTGTCGGGTTACAGCGGATATAAACAGGTTCAGGTTCCACACGGTCGTCTCTTCGCTTTCGACTCTGAGGGGCAACACGTTCTCACCTGCGCCAGTAACGGAGGAAACATCTACCGGGTAAACACACACTCACCAACCGCTCTTAGATGAGCTCCGTTCATTGAGGAATTGGTTCCGTTTCGTTACCTGTATCTTTTTTTATTTTTTATTCAATAAGAAACAAAAATTTACAGACCAAAATCTACAGAAACTCTACATGCTTATACATTCATCCTCACATTCATACCCCAAAACATACACGAGAAAAGAAAAGAAAAAAAAAACTTTTTTTTTTTAACACTTTACAAAATATATTACAACAGAAGAATAAATATGATATGAAAAAGATAGGAAAAACTACACGATTTCATATAGTTATAAAACACATATAATATTATTCCACTTTTTATTATATTCATCCAATTTATTTTTGCTTTCTGCTATTATCTTTTCTAAAAGAAGATGAGATCTTATAACATTCTTAAAGTGACCTAAACACAAGCTTGATGATGTTTTTGTTTTAAAAATAAACATTTTCCCTATTAATAAAATGGTATTTAACACAAGGAAACTTCCTGTAAAATGACCAAATACAATAGTTTGTGGTGTTATGATCGTTACCTGTATCTTTTTAGCCGTTTCTGTCATTATCAATTAGGGCTGGTCATTTTTTCAATAGGGCTTGGGTGCCGCGTTGCATTCTGGGACATGCCCGCTATGTTGACAGCTTCGCGAATGTAAAGATACAGCAAGTCGAACGAGGAGAAGCAGCAGAGTTGGGAGAAAGAAAAGAAAAAAAGATGTTATATAGGGAAGCCAGGGACCGGTATGTGGACAAAATCGGCACTTTTAACGGTTTGGATCCATGTGAAATATCCAACAAACAGTGGGAGCACAGTAACTTAATCCGAACAAAGGTAAACTGCGCTCCAACTAGCTGCTAGTTTAGTAACAGTTAGTGCTAACAAACATTCACACATGTAACGTACTTTTAACTATGTGTTTCAAAAGTGTAGTTACTGTAGTAGCTGTTTTAAGCAAAACTTAAGTTAGTAAGCAAAACGATGCTTAGGGCAAGGGGATAGCAACAGGACAACAGTACAGAGACTGACAGGTCCGATGGAAGGGCTAATGTTAATGTTACGAGAGTATTAAAATATGGGATATTTTAGAGGAAAATACTAAAACGGGAAGACAGCGGGAAAAGAGCTCAAATACATGAGAAACCCGGAAAAAACGGGAGGGTTGACAGCTAACGTTACTAACTACAGTTTTGAAACACATAGTTAAAAGTACATGTGTGAATGATTGTTAGCACTAACGGTTACTAAACTAGCAGCTAGGTGGAGCGCATCTTAAAGTTACCTTTGTCCGGATTACTATGTTCCCACTGTTTGCCGACTCTTTGTTGGAAATTTCACATGGATCCAAACCGTTAAAAGTGCCGATTTTGTCCACATACCGGTCCCTGGCTTCCCTATTTAACGTATCCCGGTAAATTCCACATCCTTTTAGGAATTTTAACATCTTTTTTTCTTTTCTTTCACCCAACTCTGCTGCTTCTCCTCGTTCGACTTGCTGTATGTTTACATTCGCGAAGCTGTCAACATGGCGGCCACGCCAAGTAATGACGTCATGACGCCCAAGCACTATTAAAGGGGCATTATGCAGAAATCCCGTTTTTGTCAAACAGCGACCCCTAGAGTTACTGTGGAGTACTTGAATTTAATGTTACTGTCGTAAATACCACTCACTCAGAGCTTGACATGCCCTGTTACATAGTATACAATAGTACATTGTGTTTAATTTGTCGTTTAATGAGATATAATATATGTTGTTAGTGGTGAGAATTTTCACGTGATTAAATACATAGATCCGACAATTTTAATGGTCCAGAGGCAGAACTTTTGCCAAGTGTGTCAGAGGTTCTGGGTTCTAATCAGTAGTAGTATAGTTTATTTTCCTCATCAAAACCGATTGTTTATTAGTGGTTGTATTTCAAGCAGGGACATGTTTTTTGTGCATTAGATTTTGCGATTTCACCATTACAAAATATAGAGAGTCTCTCAGTCCCCGCAACGGATTCAGGCGCGCGTCAGAACAGAACACTGTAACTTATCTGCACCACTGATCGCAGAGGCAACGAGCACTTTGGTCACTTGATTTCAAAACTAACACATTTCAGATCGCCTCTTATTTAACAAACGAACGAAATGAATGCTCTACTAGAGTTACCTGGAGATGTTTTATTTGTTTGTAATGGTAACGTTACATCCGTGCCGCGAGAAGTTTCAATGGGGACATAACACACCCGCAAATTATGCCTATGCTCGTGTCCGACTCCTCGCTCGGTCAGTCTGCCGTTTCCTCTTTCTCTGTTCCTCCGACAATGCTTTCCTAGCTTTCTGCATCTTATATGCCGGCTCAGCCATGACGATAGTGTGACAAACTCCATCCATCTATACCTTGTTCCTGTGTGTATGTGTGCAGTTGCCGTAAAGGAATATGTTACATCGCGAGAGCTGATATCACGCGATACTTCCTGACGCGGCCCGCCGCACCGAAGTTGCAAGTGAGATTTTTTCGCTCACAGGCACCAGGGGGGGTCGAGACGCCCACCATTCAACCCGAAAGAAGTTATATAACCATTTCAATAACTCTGAAGCTGTTCAGTTAAGCTAAAAAAGCTGCATAGTGTCCCTTTAATAGTTTTTTTTAAACATGGTCGATTTGATGTTGATTCCCAAAAGCCAAGTTTCCCGCTTGTAATTATGACTTTGTGGTGCCGTTCACGTGAGTCCAACTCAACTAAATACGATCTTTCTGACATGACTTGGACGCACCATTAAATCTGATTAACTTGAATCTTATTACTTCTCCATCTCCACTAGATGACACCCTCTTATTTACCATGTGCGATTCAGTGCTGAAAGGGGTTAGTTCAACCAGAAATGACAATTAGGAGTAATTATGTCATTAATTTCTGTCGTTCCAAACCTGTAAGATCTTAGGAACACAAATTAAGATATTTTAATGAAATCTGAGAGCTTTACAGCTAATGTTTTAAGATTTTATTAAAATAGTAAAGTAAAATAACCGGATCCTTTTTGAACAAGGCATGTGACTGCTCAGGCTATCATTTCCCATTAAAATCAGTTTGAAATAGAGAGGTGGGTTGTTTTAATGAATGTGTACCTGAAATAAAAAGAGTTTAATATACACTTCTGTGGCTCTTAATGTCTTTGGATTAATTCACCATTTGTAAACTGATGTATAGTATGAATAGTATTTGAATTGAATCTATATCCATTGAATCTGATCGAATCGACACATCTGTACCGAATCAGTAGCATTGATATAGTATTATTTTACCTTCCTTGTAAAATAAAAAAATTATAGTTTTTATTCATATTTTGAATTTTTGTTTAATTCGTTTTCATCTTAATTTGAAAGTTTTAGTAATTAAATCTAGTAAATCGAACCTAATAGGCCTGTCTTCTCTCCTCTCGTCTAGTTAAGCAAGGCGGACGTGGGTCTCGAAAGCGTCTTGTCTCTCGGTGGTCATAAAGCGCCCGTCGTGACGGTGGATTGGTGCTCAGCGATGGACTGTGGCACGTGCCTCACCGCGTCTATGGACGGCAAGATCAAACTCAACACGCTTCTCGCTCAGAAACCCTGAGTGCCAGTGAGGAAGATGATGATGAAGCAGAATCTGCTAAAGTCTTATGAACCAGTCAGACATGTGACCAGTAGAACATATCATGATATCAACAATGCTACGGATTCAAAGATGATGGATTTACACTTGCACAGAATGAACGTAAAACAAACCCTATAGATCCAGAGAATGATGATGTGTTTTTCACAAAGCATTTATGTTTCTGGGTGAGTTAGAGATGTCTTTTGAGCATATGCGGAGAAATGTTACGTTAGAAAGAACAAACAAATATGATTCAGTCAGGTCAGTTTAGAAAGGGCATTAGCTTCACATTAATGTTTCTGTTCTTCTAAAAGATGCTGTTTATTTCTTACTGTTGGAACCTTAAAATGCAACTTTACCAAGTAATAAAGTATTTGAATAATGTTCAACCATTTTTTTGCATCTGTATCCTGTTGTACATTCAAATAAATATGATCAATTAACAAAATCCTGTATGTCATTTAAGGTGTGGTTTTGAGGAGCTCGGTTGAATTACAAATACAAAGAAAAACAAAGGAGTATTTGTATAAATGAGTCTGAAATATTTGTACAGGTCAGTGGATATCCCAGCATGTATGTGTCAAAATGCATGGGATACACCTTAAAATATGTTTAAAAGTTAAACTGGCAAAGAGTGTAAATTTTTCACTGGTGCTTCTTAAAAGAAAAGTTCACAATGTCACACTGAGTAAAACTGAAAACATTCATCCACAATCATCTTTAATACTGCTCACTGATATTAAAACATGTTATCAAACTCATTGAACATTGAGACTCATTAAAATCTACAATAGAGCCACGACACCAAGCTGTTATTAATTGGAAGCTGCCTATAGATTATCATAAATGTGTACTATATTGGATTGCGTTACTAACTAGGGCTGTCACGATTCTTTAATCAAATTAGAGAACTCGATTTAAAAATATATATTTATAACATTCATCTGGGAACCCAATGCGCCATTTCATCAGATTTGAAACGCAAATAATTTATAAACCTACGCTAACACAGGAGAATACATCAATTTGTTTCTAAATATGCAAAATGCTCTACATGATTTTAAAATAAAAGTTTAAACCCTCGCACTGAGTTTGCATGTTTTGATGTCCACATGTTCTTGTTCAAGAAATTACAGTAGCTGTATCATTTCTATCTTAAAGTAGGCCTAGTGACCAAATATTAAAGATTAAGTAAACATTTGAATAAAATGTTGTTTGGCCAAAATTAAACAAGGATTTGATTTGAACAAGGATGTTGTTAAAGTGTAACAACATCAAGCCGTTGGCGCCCTCTGCGGGCTTTTATTATAATACGTAGGCCAATGGACATAAGTTCGTTGATTGTTTATATAATATGTATAACAGTCTTGTTCTATAAAACCATATAATTTCTTGCTTTTTATACTTTATTTGAACCAAAATTATTGCCTCATTGTTATTATATATTTATTTTAAATAATTCTAAAGGCTATTTTTTGCTTAGGTCTATTTTTATTACCACAAAAACATCTGATTACTTGATTAATCGTCAAAATAATCGGCCGATTTCTGGATTACCTAAACAATCGTTAGTGACATTTCTAATACTAAAAACTATTTTTGTCATGTAATTTGGAATCAGTAATCGACTAATATACCAGTGTCTATCTTGATGAGTGAGTCATTGATTCGATCGATTCGTTCAAAACGGCTGATTCATTCAAGAACGAAGCAAGCAAGTATGAATGGGACAGTTAGGCTCGGGAGGACTGGACGGGACCAGCAGAGAAGGCTCGGGAGGACTGGACGGGACCAGCGGAGAAGGCTCGGGAGGACTGGACGGGACCAGCGGAGAAGGCTCGGGAGGACTGGACGGGACCAGCGGAGAAGGCTCTGGCTCGGCAGGCGTGCAGGGAAGCTCAGGCTCGGCAGGCGTGCAGGGAAGCTCAGGCTCGGCAGGGCTGCAGGGAAGCTCAGGCTCGGCAGGGCTGCAGGGAAGCTCAGGCTCGGCAGGCGTGCAGGGAAGCTCTGGCTCGGCAGGCGTGCAGGGAAGCTCAGGCTCGGCAGGGCTGCAGGGAAGCTCAGGCTCGGCAGGGCTGCAGGGAAGCTCAGGCTCGGCAGGGCTGCAGGGAAGCTCAGGCTCGGCAGGGCTGCAGGGAAGCTCAGGCTCGGCAGGGCTGCAGGGAAGCTCAGGCTCGGCAGGGCTGCAGGGAAGCTCAGGCTCGGCAGGGCTGCAGGGAAGCTCAGGCTCGGCAGGGCTGGACGTGACCAGCTGTGAAGGCTCGGCTGGGCTGGACGGAACCAGCGGTGCGGACTTGGCTGGGCTGGACGGAACCAGCGATGAGGGCTTGGCTGGGCTGGACGGAACCAGCGGTGCGGACACGGCGTGCCATGGGAGAAAGCTCTCCAGACATCTGGAGAGTGCCTCTCTCCAGTCCAGACCAGAGAGATCTGGAAGTTCCCTTGGGTCGACCACCTTGGCCCCTCGCCGGTAACACGCCTTGATTATCTCATCGCCCAGCGAGCAGGAGGCAGCGAGTGGAACAAAGCCCCAGGTAAAGTGGAACAGATCACGGCTATCCAGCGCCAAAGCCGTGATCTGTCCCGCGAGCTCCCAGATCTCCATCTTCCTCTTCTTTTTTTTTCCTTTTCCTTTTTGGTCGGTTCTTCTGTTACGGGTGTGGTGCAGGTTGAAGGAGAGGCAGCAGTCAGCAGATCAACTTCAATACTCTTTACTAATATAACTAAAACAGGAATCCAGGAAACATAACCACACCAAATACAAACGTACCATACACAAACGAGAATCGACCAGGAGTGAGGGAGAACACAGGGTTTACATGACAGAGAACAGATTAGGGAAACAAGGCACAGCTGGGGCAAATGAACTAGACACAGGTGAATAAACTAAACACTAACTTGGAGCGGGAAACTGGAAACAGGACTGAACCAAATACACAAAGAACGGGGGAAACACAGGACATACATGTAACACTAAAGGTGGAAAGTGTAATATCAATTTATGACAGAACCCTAACCCCAAATTCATAATTAACAATTAATCAAATATCCTATTTGATGATCTGTTTCATAAGTTACAGAGATAAGTTGCGTTCTGTCAGTGTTGTAAATTGTACAAAACACCCAAATTACATCTGAACTTGATTATTGTTACAGATGATAATTTGTAAAATGAAAACGTAAAACTAAACTAACAAAAAGACCATTTATGATTAAACAAACCACACCTTATTTAATAAATTTCAGCTGAAGTTTGACTTGAATCATTTAAAACTCCTAGTAATGATTTAAATATGAAACACAAGTATAATGTCTGAACTCAACATTGCAGTGTAACATTGATTGATGACATTCCAACAGATTTTCTTTTCTTCATTTTTCATTATGTTCACTTGTTCATTTTACTTTTTTGCCCGAAGGGCATACTCAAAGGCTAGACGTAAACCTTCCGTTTGAGATGTGGTATTAGAGTTTAATCGATTAGCGTAAAAGGGAGGGACCAGCATCTCATTTGCTGAGAGAGGGACTTCGAATATAGCCGGTCTCTGGAAGCCTCCTCTATTCATTTTTCTGCTGTCCCCTCCACCTTTTGGAAAACGACAATCTAGATTATATTCATCATCTGAATTATCAGAAACCTTCATCGACATGAAACGAGATCCGGGATGAGAAAGATTAATGTTGAAGTCTGAAGCTGAAGAGAGAGAACAGAAACTCATAGATACTCACATTGCTGCGTTCTGTCACTCTCACTTTTACCAACATTGTCCTGCATCTTCTGTAAGACACTGAGCTTCAGGTTGGTCAGGTGATCTGTGAAAGTGATCGGCACACTTGGACTGGGGTCTGGATCTGGAAGATATTGGGCTCTGAAACAACATTCAAGAGTCAGAGATGCTGATGGTTTGAGTTCAGAAGCACAGAGAGAAACAAATACAAACCTTTGCAATGTGGCCCCTAAGTTCTGTAAAGAAAAAAAGAAAGAAATGCAAATTATTCAGCAAAACTGAATTTGCCTTAAATCTCTGAAATTGACATTAATATAACGGGAGAGTAATGTACATTCATTGACACCCGAACTGAAACATCTTCAGCGGCAGCCCTCATCCACATTTTGGGGTTTCTGATTGTGAGAGATGGAATCTGCTTTGTCTCTCTTGAACTGGGGTCTGAAGCTGGAAGGCTAAACTGGGCTCTGAAACAACATTCAAGAGTCAGAGATGCAGATCAAAGAAAAAAAGATAGAACTCTAGGGTTCTTGACTCAATTTTAAGAACCCTTTATGTCAAAAAGTTACTCTGATGTTTAATTGGTTATTTAATTTTTTAGTGATAAAGTTTACAAGCTGTTAAATTCATAAAAATGTAAATACTTGAATGAATGAATGAATGAATGAATGAATGAATGAATGAATGGAGTTAATTCAAACTAAATCCATAAAATTATGGGAACATATACAAGGTTCTATAAATGAAGCGTCTGACGGAACCCTTTAGGATTCCATACAGAACCTTTTCTTCTAAGAGTGATGATTTGGAATCAATCGCAATACATCATCCTTTCGTGAAATCATGGAACATACTCTACCTTGTCTGTGGACATCGTTCATTCTAAAGCCGGTGGATAAACAGCGAGTGTGCATGCGGCGCTAGGCTAAATTATTTACGACAGCGGTAATGGACAATTACGTTTCCAACCAGTAGGGCGACCGAGGAGGAAAAGTTCCTTGGTGTTGCTTTAAGATTCCATACAGAACCTTTTCTTCTAAGAGATGATTGGAGTTCAGAAACACAGAGACAAACAAACACAAACCTTTGCAATGTGGCCTTAAAGTTCTGTAAAGAAAAATTAAAGAAATTCAGCAAAACTGAATTTGATTTTAATCTCTGAAATTGACATTCACATAATTGGAGAATAATGAAGATGAATTGACACCTGCAGGAATGAAGCATCTTCAGCCTTCATCTGCTCCTCGATGT